ATCAGAGGGTGTGTGTTTGAGGTGTGTGGGGGGGTCCAATTTCTGCCTCCCCAGTCTAATACCCCACCCCCAAATGCTCGCATTTTGCAGTCCGCTCTGAAATTCCCACCAGTCATCTCCACATGCCACAATCCTGAACAGCTGCCAAATTTCCTTAATTAAGACAGGAACTTTTCATAAAACATCCCATTTATTTTAGCTTTTGCCCACCCTGTTTAGAGAACATCAGATGGACTCTGATCTGCAGCCTAACCCGCCCCCTATTCCGTTCCTCCCCTTAGCAAATGTTCCGGCCTCTCAGAAGTCGTGAGGTCCGGCAAATCCACTCAAAACAGGACCCCACAAACTAATCTACACTCAGCCCTAGCATCATGTTTATAATATGTGTAGGCCTGGATCCCTATGGGGGCGGAGGGTGGGAATGAAAGCCAAAATATTACACATTATTCTGCAATAATGACTCCAGCATCATGACTAGCAGTCACTTGGCAGTGTATTTTTTCTAGACTTGAACCTTCCTAGAATACTTTCCATATGCTGGGGGCTCAATGTCACTCATGAACTGAGAGTGCCTTCTGGAATGAGGCACTGGTAGTTTGTTTATTAATTAATTAATTAATTAATTAAAACATTTCTAAGCCGCCCCATTCGCCGAAGCCTTGGGGCGGCTCACAACGGGTAGACTGATTTGTGGGAGAAATTGTCCAAGTTTTTAATGGAAAGGGCCTATATAAGCTTCCAGGAAATTCTAGGCTTCCCACAACATGGGGGGGGGGGTAGTTCTTCTCAGTTTGACCTTTGTCAGATATTTGCAAGAGTCAACATCTCGCGAGTTTTAAGCATGCTACTAGCCCTCATGAAGACTTCTGTAACAATAGAGTGGTGCAGCCTCACAAGTTAACTTTAAGGAAGGGGGTCTTAAGCTGAGGTCCATGGACCAGTGTTGATCTGCAGCGGTTCCTTTTTAGAGGTCCAAGGAGAAGTTGCAGAACAGTGAAAGATGTTTCTATGAAGCTTTGTACTTGATTTTTTTTTTCTGATGTTGGATGTAGAGGTCACAAAACTTTGTCCACACAAAAAGAGGCATGTCCATCTGATTCCAAGCTATCAGTCTTGCTTTGATCAGCAGGAGAAAAAAAGATTATTCAGGGTGTGACCCTATGCATGGGCTTAACGGAGAAAAGAGGTTCAGTTCCCAGCATTCCCTTGCCAGTGGGGTAGTGGATAAGAGCGGGGTCCAGGACACAGGCAATCCAGGTTCTTGTCCCCACTCAGCCATGGTGCCAACTGGGGGACTTCGGGCCAGTCACAGACATTCAACCCAGCCTACCTCACAGGGCTGTTGTTGTGGAGACAAGGTGGAGAGCAGGAGACGAGAATGATTAACGCCACCTTGAGTTCCTTGGTAGGAAAAAAGCCAGGGCGTCAATATAGTGAATAAGTAATTAAAGCAATGCAGAAGGGGACAGAAGGGGCAGCTTCGTCCTTTCCTTTGAGCATGTTTGTGTGGTTTGCTATCTGTGTTCCAGCTAGGCCAGGATTTGCTCTCTAAACACCAGGCCTCCTTCAGTTTGCACATCTTGGGAGGCAGCCACCTGTGCGAGGCAGGGCTGGGCTGCCGAATTCAGCGGGGCCCCTGGGCCTCATCCCTCATCCCTCTGCTCACAGGCTGCTTTCCTGAGTTGTGCCTATTTTCAGACGGGGCGGTAGCTTTGGGGGCGAGCCGGGGTGTACGAAAACCATCGTGACTCCTTGCAACCTTCTTCCTTCCCTCCACCTCTCTTGGGGTGCAGTGAGAGTCCTACAGCTCCCAGCATCCCCAGCCAGCAGGGCTGATAGAGTATACTTGGACTTTTCTGCCCGAGCTTGTGCAGGGTTGCCCCTTCAGCTGCCCATCAGTGTGACTGTGAGCAGCTTGTGGCAACGCACAACGGAGCTTCCCATCTGCCCTTCTGGGCCAGCGTCTTCGTGTAACATGGACTCTCCGAGGGATCCTGCAGGTGTGCTCACTCGAGGGACAGGCCGCCTTTTCTCCACTGCCCTGGGGGCACCATTTTAAAAGGATCCGGATGTGCATCTTCCAGCAGGAGTCGCTCACATCATTCCTCAATGAGGACCAGAAGCTTTCTGATATTACCAAAGCAGGGATCATCCCTATTACTGGAGCTATGTTTTGTTTTCTTGTGAATCCTTAAAGACTTCTCAGGAATCCTGAAATCAGAAAAGAAAATGCAAAATGTACAGAAATTCTTTGAATGAATCAGTCTCAATTAACTATCTTGGATCGAAGCTAGCGATGGAGATCCATCTTTCCGTTTTCCTGGTATTAATAGCATTCGCCACATCCAATGGCTAGAAGTCCTGCTGATTAATTCTTGCACAGTCTGAGGAAACGAAGCAGCACCCTGGATGTTTATTCGATATGCAAAGCAAGCGCAATCGCGGATTAAAATGGTGTTTTTGCAGGTTTGCGGTCTGGCAGTGCTTGGATTTCAGCAAGGTCATCCTGTTCCCCTTCCTTGTCAGGGTTTGGGGTGCGTACCCTGTGCCTTTCCCTAGAGGCACGAGTTCCGTGATGCTCAAGGGGCAATTCACCCCATGGAGCATTTTGGAAATGTAGACAACCTGGCTCATTTTCGTTCTCGAGATTCTTCTCCCGTGGAACCCAGAACCTGGCCTTCTCCTCCTCCCATTAAGCCAAATTGACTGGTGCAAAAGCAGGTGCTTTTCCTTTTGTCCAGCCGAGCCCAATGACGGGGGCAGGCCAAGGTAGCCACCTCCATGCAGCTGATTTGGGGTCCCTGAAAGGACCGAAAAGCTTGCTCACTTGTCTCGGGGGGACGGGCAAAGAGCGGTGCAGCTCCCCCACGTTCTCAGGGGCTTCCACCAACCAACATCGGGGCTACCAAAATACTTTTCCTCTCCTGTAGGTCTCCCTTGAGCTGTTATTTTATGAATTATCTGTTGCTCTCTTAATACGCAAGCGGCTTTGTGGGCAAGAACACGCCTGAAATAGGCAGCGAGCTGCATGTAGTCCAAGCATTACCCTGCGTGAGCTCGAGGCATGCTGGGTGTCGTGGGCTGTTTTTTACCAACTGCAGTTGCACCCTTTGGCCACACTTAAAGCAGACCCATAGAATCAGTGGGGCTTGGCTTTTACTAACTGAAGACCCATGGAGTTCACTCCTATGGGGTGCTAAGCACAGGAGGTTTTGATTGCACTTCCTGGTTCCAGGATTTTACAGGGCGGGGCAGGCGGCAGTGGGCAACGGGGACCTTCCCCTGTATTCCGACTCCGGTCTTTTCTTCTTACTGCAGAAAAAGGTCTTTTCCTCCTACTGCACAAGCACCTGAAGTCCGGATTCCACGCACGCCTCCTGTGATGTTCAGGGCCCCCACCTTGGTGGAAGCCCAACAGGTGTGGGTTCGTCTGCAAAAGCAGGGAAGCTACCCTAGCCGAACCTTCTTGGTGACGCCTCGCCTCCTGTCTTCTTCTGGCCCTCCAAGGACCCTGGAAATCCATGCCCTTGGCCCTTTCACCCCCCTGCCCCAAACTTTGACCCTGCAACAGGCTCCATGGTGATGGGGTGTTGAGGCCCTTGAGATTCCTTCCTCCAGCGTTGCTTCTGGTATTTGCAGTGGAAACTTGTGCGGGAGAATTTCCTGCTGGTTGGGCCCAGGGACGGCCGGATCTCTCCTGGCTCTGCTGCCAGCTAGCCAGGTTCGGCCCGGGCCCGGGCCCGGGCCTGAGCCCGCCCCCTCCCCAGAGGCCCTTCTCTCCAGGCCCGGCTTCCACACCTCCTGCATCCCTCTGCCGTGCGCCCTCATCTTTCCTCAATTCCCTCTCCCTGGAATTATGCTGACTCCATTAAAATCAGCCCTCCCATTAACACACCTCCCCGTTCACCTGGGGAGGGGGGGAGGGCAGAGAAGCAACTCGGTTTTTGAGATCCCTCTTTCCGCGGCTTTTCTCTTGAAAGCAGCACACCAGGTCTCCATCCGTCCATTTGTTTTGTTCGCATTCTCGACAGAGCTGGCTGGGAGAGCCGAGGCTGGAAAATATTTCGCTTTCCACCAGCCACGCTAGCGCACGCCGTTGGCATCCTTCTCCGCTCCTTGCCTCTTTCTCTCTGGTTTATTCCTTTTTCACTGGAGTGCTTTTTTTTTTAACGTGCAGGCGGCTTCAATCCTGACTCCGTATCTTCTTTCATCTCCTGACTCCACCTCCCTGAATGCATTTTGAGTGTCTCTTCGTTCCAGTATTTCGCATTCACCAATTCTTTCCTCCTCCCTTTCTCTCTCTCTCTCCCTCTCTCCCTCCTAAAAAAGGGGGAAAAATCTCTCCACTGCTTATTCCCAGGATTTCTGCCTCATCGCTGGGAGTTATTCATTGCTTTCGCAAGGGTGGGAGGGAACCAAAGCCCAAAATCAGACCGAGAGGAGGCATAAAAAAGAGGGGGGCGGTCAAATGAATTCTTCCTCTAGCCCCCTTTCTTCTGTCTTACACACTTTCACCCACCTCCCTCCAGCACCCCCTAAGGATCTCAGAACAGAGAGACCCACACATTCGGGGGCTTAAGTGGATGAAATTTTTCCCTTGCTTTCCTGTATTTTCTTGGTGACTTCCCCCCGTTTTTCCTCCTTTTTTCCAAGCAAAACAACAAAAAAAGATGCGGCCCTTTCTCCCAAGATTGTCTCCATCTTCTCTGGATGTCTCTAGGTGCTTCAAAGTTTCCGGATCCACCGAAAACCTTGTGCAGAACCGAGGAATTATAAAACTTTACTGACCGAGGGAAGTAGATATATTCTTTTAAAAAATATATGTCTATTGTATGCGTTTCTCCTTTTTCCCTCCTCATTTCCAAAGGAGCATTATACTTACTGCCTCTTGGAATTTGTGCGTGAGAGATTGTCAAAGAAGGAAAACAAAGAGCGAAAGAAGACGGGAGTGAGTCCACTCCCCACCTTTTTTTTTAAGGAGTTGTTTCTCTTTTGCAGTTATGGCTCTGGGGATCTCCTGGGTTGGATTTTATTCAGGCTTGTTGTTCTCCTTGCTGGAACTCTGGTTCATAGAAGGACTCAGCTTAGAGCCCATTTACTGGAATACCTCAAACAAAAAGTAAGTAGAGATGGAGAGCTGGTGGGTCCCAGAAGGCTCCTTCTGGTGGGGTGCCCTGGGTGGGTGATATGCAAGTTTTCCTGGCTGTTTGTCTTTGTAAAAACGGGGGAGGGATGGTGGCTGAGAAGGAATTTGGAACCGAAAAGCCTATATTTTTTAAAACTCGCTTGGATTCTCGCCTTGCAAATCTTTGAAGCGAACAGAGGGGCAAAAGGTGGACGTTTGGAGCTGTCTGAAATGCCAGCGTTTTGGTGGTGGTCAGTTTCAGGTAAAACAGACGAGAAGGAAACAGCCTGGAGGAAGGTGTAGACTCACACTTGCTACTAAAATTTTAACACACTTCCTTTCTGCAAACTTTCAGACTCTCCATTTCCTCCTCCTGTTCTTGGATGATTTTTTTGGGGGGGGGGGGCAAGAGCAAAACTCAGTGAAGATATTACATTCTTGAGCTGCTTTTTAAAAAAATCGGCTTGCGGGCATTTTGATCTGTGTGCGTGTGCGCTTTTTAAGAAGTGTTCGTCCTTCTGTACCCCTTCGTCAAAGAGTTTATCTGATGTCTTGACTAGTTGGTGTGGTTCAGCGCGGTTGTCCAGGGGAAAAGGCAACGCATTTGGTGTGTGTGTGAGAGGGAAATAGTACACAGTATCTTAAAGTTAGTGGTCAAGTGTGTGTCCCATCTCAGACCCCTGATCTAAACACGTCCCCTTGGAAGTTGATTTTCGTGGAGCTGCCGGCTCGGCGTGGCGTGGCTGCCGCCTGCGAGTGATGGCGTGCCGAGAGGGCTGACCAATCTCGGCCAGGAAATCTAGGAAGGAAGCAGGATGATGGGCTCGTGGGTTGCCTGCCATCGCGGCCTTTTTCAAAGCAGTTGCTAGGAAAGCGCCGCTCGCGTGGCCGACTTGATTTTTGGACTCGCTCCGAGGCGTGGAGGTCAGAACTCCCACTATGGGATCTGGGTGGGTCTGTAGGAAAGCTTCTGCAGCTACCTGGGGCTTTTTGTATTCTTACCCAACCTGTTTCCTTCCTCTCTCTCTCTCTCCCTCTCTCTCTCATTCTCTCTCCCAAACATGGGGCTCACACTGTAAAAACAGTGCATCAGCCCCTTCGGGCATGACCCTTTGCAAGCCCCCAGGGAAGGATGGGGAACAGACCCGTCCCTTGGCCTGTTCTCTGCCTTTCCTGTATGCCAGCACGCACAAACGCTCGCACCATTTTTCCAGATCAGAGCTTTAATAGGTCAAATGAAGAACTTTTCCCTTTTCGGCTGCCCCTTTCCTTGAACGGGCGTCTGGGTGCCTGCCGGCTTTCCCCTGAGGTGCCAGAGGTGTCCCTTGCGATGGGGTGGACAACAATCCCCCCCCCCCGCACGCACACGGTTCCTTCTCTTTCTGCGTTTACGCCTCTCACACTCACACGCGCACACCTCCCGGGTGAGTCCAGAAATTACTCCCCATCTGTTAACAATTGTGGCTGAGCCCCCAATAACTTCTGAAACCCAAGTCTCCGTGCGCATTTTTGTCAAGGTGGGGGTGGGGAGGAGGCCGAATTGGAATAATACACGTAGGAGCTGCGAGCTGTGAGGACGCTCGTTTCCAAAAACTGGTCGCGGTGTGGGGGGAGCTGAAGGGTTTGGGGGGGGGGGGATGGAGAGGGAGAGAGAGGGAGAGGGGGGCATGGTGGTTGTTTGTCAGAAATCCTCTCTCACACATTAAAAAAATCCCTATGATTCATAAGTGGTACAATTTGCGCTCTGTCGCCATGCGAGGAAACGCTTCCTAGCAACAGAAATATATATTAGTGCTTAATGAGCTTGTTTGCCTAAATGGAGCGGTGAGTGTGCTTTTCCTCTCCCTTACCTTCTCCTTCCCTCACCTTAGTAATCTCCCACAAAGGGAAGGGAGGAAATAATGTTTTCGAACACCCGATTCCATCCCTCCTCTCACTCTTTGATGGATGTCCGCCTTTGATAACCAAACTATAAGAACAACAAAGCTGAAATCGGGCAGGGGGAAGGGTCTCTCTTTGAAATGTTTGGGGAAAGGAAATAAAAGTGCGAACCTCAACCGAGCAGGCCTGAGAGGTTCCTCGCTCACTCCCTAAGTTGCCGCCCCTCCGCTTTCTCTCTCATCTGGGGGCAGAACCTCTGCGAAACCCTCAGGAATGGTGCCCCATTGAAATGAATGGGGGGCCTGGATGGGGCGGTGGATGGCTCCCCCCGCTCCAAGCACTGTGTCGAGGCTGTTCTGAAAATGTGAACTCCTGCCTGGTGGGGTTGCTGCTCAGGGCTTCTCGTGGCACTGGGGTCTTGGGTGATGGTCCACCGTGATGACTTTGGAGTGCGGTGGGGGAATATCTGATTTGGTCTATAAATTTGCAGGGAGGTCTGAAAGAGAAAAGATTGGTCCAGGAGGGGGGACGGTGCAGGAAGCTTCGGGGCTGCAGATGTGTCTAAAATTGAGGGCTCCTTTCCTGCCCACCCCGCCCGTGGAAATATCGAGGAGCTGCGATGCCGTCTTAGAAGAGTTGCCCCGTTGAGTCAGCCGTGTCTTGTTTAAATCAGGCAAGCAAAAGGCTGCTCCTTGTAAAAGTTATTTCCAAACAACCCCACATCCAGGAACCGCTTTGCATTGTGCTAAGGAGACTGGGGCTGCAGGGCGTGTGGTCTGCGAGTCTTCGGTTCCCATCCAAGCAGTTGTGGTTTCACTTTGCCCCCGTCGCCTTCGCATGCTGGAGTGCCCCTCTGAAAAAAGATGGAGGGGAGAGGGACGAGGTGTGCTGTGTGGCATCTGTGGGGCTCCTCTTTTTGTGGAATCTGCTGGCGTGGGATTACCACTGATGCTTCTGGTATCCGAGACCGGAGCACTTTTGGGTGTGCCTGTGTGCATTTTCCCCCTTTCCCTAAGAGGTAGGGCTGCGATAGATTAATCAACTTGAATGTTTTTAGTTGATTGATTGGTAGCCCTGAATGTGTAAAGGCACACATTGGTTTTCAACTTTAGCCTGTGATTGTAAACAGGAGATAAAATGGCTTTAAAGATACTCTTCCCCCCCAATGATTTTTAGCTCTGAATGCTTAAACTGGAAGACGCTTTGCACTTCCTTTGACATCCTGGTCAATTCATCGTCTGGTAATTTGCAGATGGATTTAAATGTGACAAGTGAATGTGCTGAGGAAGGAGGTTGGCCAGCCTATCCGAGACGGAGCGTGTCCTTCAGAAAGGAAGGTTGCGTGTTTGGAATCTGCAGGTCTGGCACTCCCCAGATCGGGGGGCAAGGGGCAGGGGGGATACGGCCTGAGTCATGGAAGCTGCCCCAGGAAGGGTGAGCCGGGGGCTCAACTGCCGCTCTGGTCCCCATCGCACAGAGCTGCTTCCCAGTTTGGCTCTGCCCATCAGCCGGCGAAGTCTGTAAGCCTGAGAGACAGGCGGACGTGCCCGAGGAGAATCCAGGGAGCCAGACGGATCCGCTCCAGCCTGGACCTTGTCCTGCCATCCCCGGCATCCGGATACGGCTTGCTCTTCGGAGTGCAAAAGCCCCCTGGTAGAGCACCGGCCATGAGCATCATCCCTGACCTCGATGCCTTCCATACCTCTTGGACTACAACTCCCATAATCCTTTCAACATTTATTGGATGGGTTCTGGGAGTTGTGCCGCAACACACTTGAAGGGTATGGAGTTGGGCACGGCTGCTGCCCTCGTATTCTGCATCCAATGCGTGTCCAGCAGAATCGAGACCTTCTCAGAACGGCCGCAACCAGATCAGACGGCACGTGCGCTTCCCCCCCACTCGGGGGGCGCTTTCTGCCACCACCACAAAGCATGTTCAGCATCGCCTTTCCCCGTCACCAAACATTTCACCTTCCGATGCTGGATTGAGTCTCTCTAGAATAACATCCACCCCCTAGTTCTGAGCACTGTTGTCCAAATGGATAAAATCACACCTTGGATTATGCAAGTGGCAAAAAGCAAAGCAAGCAAAATGCCAGGAGCTTTTCGGCTGCCCCGACCACGAAGACACCAGCCGGCGTTAACGAGCCAAGTGGCCGGCTGGTTCCCGCACCGGAAGAGGTGCAGCGACGGCTCCAGTCCCGCAGACACCGAGCACCGAGCGGAGTTGTGGAGGCGTTGAGGAGCACTCTGCCCTGGGCACGTTTGGTAACTCCACCCATGTCGAACTTGTTACCACAAGATCACGATAGGTGTGGCGCAGGGTCTGGAAGTGTCCTCGCTTCACATTTTCCTCTTTTTTAAAACCAAGATTCTAGCCCTTTTTGCTGTAGAGGCCAGGCTTCATGGGGAGGACTGCATCTCGCCTTGGGGGTTGGAGGAAGAAAATAATTCGTCTGCCCATCATGTATTTGCAGCTAAAGGAGATGGAAGGCCCCCACCCAGCTCTCTTTCCAGTCCCTGTTTGCCAGAGGAGACACTCCTGGGCGAACCAGGTAAATTACCCAACTCCCTCCTGAGCCAGGCTGGCTCTAGGGCATTCTACCCCGAAGATTGCCCAACTCCGGCTGCCTTGCAGTGTGCCTTCAAAGCTGGGTGGCTGGTGCGGCCAACTATTTCCGGCCCTGTGAGTGGAAAAAGCCACTCAGAGGACAACCTCACGGTTGCTGAGACGGGCGAGACCTTGCAGCTCCCAGGCACTGGATTGCACCCTTCCATCCCCTGCAAAACGTCCACCGTCTTACCCTGAATTCTGCAGGATTCTGTGTGGATGAAAGAATTATCACAAGGATTATTATTGCAATTATTGCTAGGCACGCTAGGTGCCTGCTGTTCGAGTCCTCTGCTCTGATGGGCCCACTTTGGTCCGTCTGCACCCCAGGAAGATGCAAGCAGTCCCGTGCTTGGAAGCCACCCAGTCCACCCACCCGACTCGTTCCCTCCCTCCTGAGATGATGGAAGCCCCCTGCCCCAAAGTCGGCCCCACGCTTTGGCTCCCGGTTCCCAGAGCATCCCACTCTGTGGAGACGTCGGGACAGTCTGTGTGTCTCACT